CACACACCAAGGTAGCAGCTGGCCACATGCCAGGAAGTACATTAGCGATTAAAAACAGAAGGGGCCAAATCAATATGGCTCAGCTCTGCACCTTCAGGAAGATTTATTCAGAAGACAAAGTAGACAAAGTGTAGTGCTCCAGCTCCACTCGCTTTCACTTTGATCAAAGCAATAGTGAAATAGCTTTTTTGCATGCCTTTGGGGGAAACTAAGATGGAAAGGCTTTATTTATATGTAAATCTTAGTTTTCACTTTTACCATAGTTCCTGTTTTATGAAATGTAAATGTCTTGTTGGAAGAGAGCCTAGGAAAAAGATGGATCATCAAACGAGATGCTAAGGAGATGGATGGGACACGGGAGGGGATTGCTGTAGGGAAAATGAAAAATGTCAGAACCTTTTTTTTCGCAGTCTTCCGAAATCTCCTCTTGCGCGTGTTCTTCAGAGGGCAGGTGACTAAAGAGCAAAACAATGGGATTAGCGAAGCCAAAAATCAGTCCACTACCCAAGGAGGGGACATTATGTTTCCTGAACTGCTGATATGCCAAGTTTTCAATATAAACAAGTCAAAAAGCTGCTGTGTGTATATAATTACTTACTGCCGTGATTCCAAACAAATTTCTTGTCCTTGTCTTTATCCTTCTTTTTGGTCTTGGGGTCAGTGCCAGTTGGCTCTTCCAAAGGGGGGTAAAGGTCTCCATCTAGTGTACACACGAGCATCTAACCCGTGGATGGGAAAAATGAATGCAAAATACCATGCTGATTAATCTGTACTGCACTGCACTGTAACTGGGGAAAATAAATTTACATAACACGTATCTAAAATCCAAAATGTACTTTTATTTTAAACCAATAAAATAATGGAAAACTGTAAAAATTATTTATTTCCAGTCTCTTGCTTACCTGGCAGACATCTGCGGTCTTGTAAAACGTCTTCTTGTCCACCGTTTTGAGTGACTCAATCATGCAGGGGAGATCAACCAGTTTGCAGGCCAAAGGAACACGGTCTACTCTAACTATGCCATGACGGCCATCAGCTACAAATAAGAGGGACAAATGACTGTTAAGGGGACATGTGGGTGACAATTCTTTAACTAGATCCATTAGTATGCTAAAATCATTGTTACATTTAAATAACAAAAAGAATGAAACTGGTATAGAAATATGTACAACGTTCAAAATTCTGGACCCGACTGTAAATGAATAACAAGACAGGGAGACAGCGTTAATTAAACCAGTGCCAAGATTGTGAGCAGCTTACGGTGCAACTCAATGGTGAGTCTGTCCTTCATGTTCATACTGCTAGACTGTGCAATCCTTCTTACTGTTGAGGCATACTCCTGCAAAAGAAAGAAAAATGAAGCCAGATCATATTGGTGGTGATAAAACTGAATTTCCATCAAACAATGAATTTCTGCAAGTGCAAAAGTCTCACCGAAGGAAGCCTGAGGACAAACTGGCTCTCCAGCTCATAAGGGGCATCCTCCTTACTCTTGGAACCGACCTTCCCAACTAAAATCAAAACACATCACCATAATGAAAGTGTTAAAATATGTCTTGCTTGCTATATGCTGACAAACTACAAAGTTTGTCATTCTACTTTAACATTAAAATATACAGTACATTATGGAATTCATTTTTCCTATTTTGAAGTAAGAAGTAATATAGTATCTAATATCTTAATCTCTGGCTCTCTTCCACTGTCTTTTTTTCACAGTGTCAGATGGACGCCACTCCTGAAGCCTGATTCTGCTGGAGGTTTCTTCCTGTTAAAAAGGAGTTTTTCCTTTGTCTTTCTCACTAAATGCTTACTCATAGCATTCCGTTTGATTGCTGTGGGTTTCTCTGTATTATTGTAGGGTCTTTACCTGACAATATAAAACTCCTTGAGGCAACTGTTGCTGTGATTTGGCGCTATACAAATGAAAGTCAGTTCAATTGAATCATTGGCTGGACGGACTCATCTGTGGACCATTTAAAGCATTTTCAGTACCTTAGCTGGGCATTTTCTCTTACATACATTATATCTCAGGGGCAAACACTACACTCCACCACATTTTTTGACAGCTTTAATTACTGATCACTTTATAGTCTTTCATGTTCTTCCCGTGGAAAGAAATCTCCAAGTTTGGTGATTTTATATGCATTATTTTACTTTGAGTGTTCTTTGTTTTGCTTTTTTTTAAACTTGTGGAAAATTGTCTTTAATGGTGTGAGGTTTTCACTGGGCAGCAACACTAGAAATACACACTAGTGTACAAACACTCGTATATAAACACTAACTACTATCTTACGTACCTACAACAGTAAAGTTTATTTCAGTGCTGACAAAAAAGGAAATTATAATGTAATAAGCTAAAAATGTAAATAGCCAAACCATTTTTATTTCTCACAGTGCGTATATGCAAACCAACAAACGTTATTATTAGTTCAATATAACATTTAGTTTATTATATTATACTATGAATGAATAAATGAACGAAAAAATAACCAACGTTCCAACCAAATGTACTCTGAATCTCTTTTCAAATTCTATCACGAATGTCTTTACATCAAAAGTAAAACACAGATAATTACAGCTAATTAAGGTTACTTGTGCATCTTACATTAATGACGTCTACCACACTGTGGAACAATAACACTATAGGAGATTATACACAATGTTCAAAAGACAGGAACGATAAACGCCAATTTGCGAACACAGTTGTTAAAATTTGCCACCGACAACATGTTTTGTTTCATCATCACCATTATTGTTACTATCATTGAGTTATATCAGCTTCATCTTAATAACCGACAACGAAAAGTGTTTCCTTACCTCGCAAAAGTGGAGGCTACGAGGCTAACAGCTAGTTATCTTTAGCATAAGGATAAGGGCAGAGGATTTTAACGTACCTTTCAGTTTAGATGTCATCGTCGTTTAGAACTTTAGATGGTGCAGCTGTGTAAATATATTTCAATGCTAAACACGCATAAACATGACGATTCTGACTGACAATAACGAGACTTCTTAGCTACACAGTGATAGCATAATCACGAGCGAAAACAAGAGTGTTGCTTAGGGCTTTGCCACTTTCAATACCTCCTCGGAAATTTGTGTTTTCTTAATCTTGGCTGTACAACTCGTATGTCTGAGCATTAAATTACAAATTATAGGCATATTTCAGTTAATAATTAAGTAATTATAATATATATGTGTGCATATTTTTGTACTGCCATGTTATTAAATAAGGACTAACAGTGAAAGTTAGTTAGTTTGTTTTTCAGCGCATGACAGTAAAATATAAAAATTCCGATAATTTGGAACGTCCCACGCGACCATCTGTATCACGAGACTTGTCAATCGTACTTTTAAAAAAACAAAAAAATAACGAATATTCTTTATCCAATATAGTTAAATGTATCTATAAATATTTAAAATTATTATTTGATGTTCGTATCGTTACGCTAAATGGTCTGTCAGTAAAAGAGTAGGAAGGAAGTAGGAAAGAGGAAATACCACAGGAAATATGCGGCTATTTTTTATTTAAAGTTATTCTATTAAGAATTAAACTGTAATTAAACCGTAATCTAAAATAAACGCTAAGTTCGTTATTATATTTGGTTTACTATTATTATTATTATTTTTAATACGACACAAATCGATAGCCTAAAGGACTGTTGGACTCACTTCCCGGTAAACACGCTATCGTCAAATATTTCATAATAAAAGATTTCGGGGAAAACTATCAGCGCTAATAAGAAGCAAACTTCCAAGAAAACTGCCAGATAGACATTTTTATTTATGTAGAAGGTTTTCTTTTTGCGGTATAAAATTTTTCCACTGCCGTTGATTTTATCCATCCACGGTACGGTGGTGTGCTTTTAATTTGAAACATAAAATTACACTTTCTGGAAAAATTACTTTTCCCTTCCGGGCCGGAATTGGTTTCTCTTTTGCTGTCGTCTTTCTGTTGTCCACTCCCCTTCGTTTATGAATAATATTTGCACAAGTTTATTTTTACCTTCGGCGACGTTGCAGCATTTGGCCGCCGAAAGCCGAAATGGTGTTTAAAGTGACTGTCAGCAGTGCCCGGAGGGCAACAAGGACGCTGTGGCTGCTCGCGCTAGTAAGCCTGCCTGTTTGCATCAGTGTTTGCCGAGCATCATCACCTCAGGAAGACAGTGCCATGGAGAACATCGTTACTGAGAAAAAGGCTGAGGAGAGCCACAGACAAGACAGCGCTGACCTGCTGATCTTTATCCTGCTCCTCACCCTCACCATCCTGACCATCTGGTTGTTCAAACATCGGCGGTTCAGGTTTCTCCACGAAACCGGGCTGGCAATGATTTATGGTAAGATGGTCCATCGTGACAGAGAGACGTCATCCGAGCTGTTACACTCATTGTATCCTAATAGTTAGATTTTGAACAGACGAATGTCAACACCAGGCTTGATAAGTTCGCCCCTTTTAACACATTTATGCTGCAGGACTGTTCCGGTTTGTGTTGTGATTGAGCAAGCGTAATTTAACGACAGTGGACGCCTCTTTTACACTGCTTAGTCTTAGAAATTACATCTCAGCACCTAAGCAATTTCGACAAATACTGTCTTATGAATCCTACTGAATTTTAGTTCTTAAATAACTTGTTTTTGTTTTGTTTTTGCTTTTTCGTGCAAGTCACAAGTGATTGTTTGGACAAATGCCAATCATGAGAGTGTAACTGGACTTTGCTTCCACTTCTGTATATTGAATTTCAGGAGTATTGTTACAAATCTTCCAACCTGTAGAAGAGGAAGTGGTCGTGTCACCGTAGAATCATTTACATTTTGCCTCACAACCCAGCTGCTTCACATCTAACAGATAATTAATAACTTCTGCTTGGCTGTGCAGAGCTTTTAGAGTCTAGACATTCACAAATTACTCATTTTTAGTTTTTATGAAGGCTCCATAGGGCGGATAGTAACATTATGCTATTATTTTTGCTGTGACATTACTGTCTACTACATGGTTACCAAACCATGCATTACTACCAATAGTAACAGATGTTTGATCTGAGCATTTTAGGTCAAGATCAGATCACAAATCCAAAATTTGATCAAAATAGCTGGAAAGATGATTGTCATCCTGCCTCCATTTTCTCTCCATGAGATATTTAAAGAGTCGGTGATAAAGAAGGGACGGAAAATCACTACAGATATAAATCACATCTTTTATAAAGAATATGAGACCTCTGGAAAAAAGGTACAGGATACCAGACATGTTGTGATTTTTGTGTTATTTTGTGTGACATATTCCCCTCGGTTGTCCAAGACAAATTTCTCCCACTGGAGACAATATGGCCTAATCTAATCTAAACTAATTGAAATTCTAATTTGCTGGTACGGTATCTGATAGGGTAATTTATTTTCACATGGATGTGTTAAGACTTTAATTTGAGATCCAGAGCTGTTAGGTACGTGTGTGATGTTCAGAGTAGACCTTTGTTTAAAAAAATTTTAACATTTAACATTTAATACCATCTGTAGTATCAGGTAGCCTGAAACTACACTCGCCATCCGTTTCTGTGGCGACGTGCCATAAACTGTTAAAAATCCTGTATTAATCAACTCTTCTCTCTCTCCTGTTGTTTTTCTTTTTGTCTTTCGTTTTTATGAATTTTTCCCCAGGCTTAATTGTTGGAGTGATTTTGCGTTATGGCATCATTCATGTTCCTCTGGATGTTGGCAACATCACCTTGAATTGCCAGGTCAATGCCAGCCCTGCCACTCTGCTGGTCAATGTAAGCGGCAAGTTCTACGAGTACACATTGAAAGGGGAGATCAGTGGCAACGACATGAAGGATAATGAGATGCTGCGCAAGGTATACTGTGTCGTGTTATTATTTGAATTTGATGTCTACATACAAGCAGTTGTGTTACAGAGATGGGTAATTATTTTCCTAAGGGACTATGTTGGTGTTGGCCAGAGGGGCCGATGGCGCGATATGGAAGCCTCGCTTCTGCCAGTCTGCCCCAGGGCAGCTGTGGCTACAACCGTAGCTGCCTCCACCAGTGTGTGAATGTGAGAGTGAATGAATAGTGGAATTGTAAAGCGCTTTGGGTGCCTTGAAAAGCGCTATATAAATCCAATCCATTATTATTATTTTTATTATGTAAAACTGGGACTGTTGTGGAGGACAGTGCCAGTAAATTGAACTCAGTATTAATTTTATCTGTGTATAAGTTATTGGTACAGCCCTCCACAAGAGTCCCAGTTTCTCCTGTATCCCCTTGAGAAGATTCATTGCCCACCCCTGAGCTGGAGCAATCAGATGATTTAATCATCAGCAAAGACGTAATTATCAGTTATTTTACACTGAAATGATAGCAGATGTTTAAATCTACAAGCACCGATGATCAAAACCAGCTACCCCACATGTTTCCCTTCTGATATTTTAAATACAACATAACTAACCAATGCAAGAGAGAAATCATAGGTTAATTTGTAATGGGATTAAATGGTGGTTTTATTTTTTTGTAAGCTGAACGATTTGTATTTCTCTTTATGTAATACAAATTCTTTATTATCAATATTAAGTAGCTATTTCAATTTTAAAACAATAGCTCTACATCTAGATCAAATCAGTTTCAAGACTATTAAACAGGGCCTGAAATGTTCTGTTAAAATAACTGGCAGAATGCCTTTATTAGTGATACAGAATGTAAAAGAAACCATAAAAGTACTTGTTTTACAGTTGTCATGTGCTGGGGTGTGTTTGTCACTTTGTACTTTGTCAGTTAAACAGCTGCACAATTACATACAAGCAGTATTCTTGACGCTATTCTAACCACCAAACAAGTAAACAATCTGCTGAACAGGTTTAATCTATTTAAGTCGTAATCTCACGCTCAGAAATTGAGGATTGTTTTCCAAACATGAATACATCTAATCCATTGTCAGAGATTGAATCCATATACTGATTTTAATGTAGCACTGCTCTAGATTTAGCATCTAAAAATGGCATTAGCCTTAGTGTGTGTATATGTATGTGGCTAGAAGCTGTCCTCGTTCTGTAACATGCCATTTTACTATTATAGTAGTTTTTTTGTTTATTGTCCTGGAAGCTGTGTCATGATGCCCCATATGGGTCATTTTTGATTAATTGATATTTTAGTCAATCCAAAAATGCAACAGCATAGAAAGAAATATTAATGAAAACAACTTGTTAATTTTCTTTTTTTTATGCAGATCTGTAATTTTGTTCTGTGTTTTGTATAACTCAGGTGACCTTTGACCCTGAAGTGTTCTTCAATATTCTTCTACCGCCTATCATCTTCCATGCTGGCTACAGCTTAAAAAGGGTACAGTATATCATATAAAAAGTCAACATTTATTAAATACACATTTTCAGTATGTATTTGGCTCTTAATTAAATAACTTCATGTCCATTTGTGGTCTCTTTATAGACCGCAGGGGTTTACGTATTCATCAAGATGAATAATTTATTTTATAGTATTTATGCATTTGATTGCTGATCTGGTAACTCTTCTGTCTTTCAGAGACATTTTTTTCGGAACATGGGATCCATCCTGGCTTACGCCTTTCTCGGGACAGTCATTTCCTGTTTTATTATTGGGTAAGAGACTTAATTTGCAATTATTACAAAAAATATTTTATTATTAAAGAAAAAGCACAAACATGAAAGCCATTCATCCTTGTGATTTTACAACCCTTGTGCAACTATGCACATTTAAAGTTATTTTTGTTTATGATGATGGACAAAACCACCTGCTCTTCCTCTTCTTCCATCAGGTTGCTGATGTATGGCTGTGTGACGCTAATGAAGCAGGTGGGCCAGCTGAATGGAGACTTTTTCTTCACGGATTGCCTGTTTTTTGGGGCCATTGTCTCTGCCACAGACCCTGGTACATATGATTTTTCTCAGATTTAAAAGTTTTCTTCTACTAACTCAAAGCACATTGTTACATATATTAACTAAAGTACTGTGCAAAAGGCCTTTCCACCACCACACCGCATCCAGTAAAAGTGTTCTTGACCAATAGTTGTGCTGAAGGTTTTTCAAAGTTGTTTTTTTTTTTATAGGATTTTTTTATTAGAGTTGACTGCTTTTTTACTAATTTTCAATCTTTATACCCCGACATTTTCAGCTGAATGTTTTTATGTTTGTTCAGCACCTTGAGACTGAGCCATGAATAAGTAAAGTAAAAAATGTATGTAATTCAAAGAATGAACCGGTTTTGTGTCGACATTACTTAACAAGGAGTCCACATACTGGTAGGGGAATAGAGATAAAAGTTGAGGCATGCCAACTGGACTGAAATCATTACCAAAAAAGTCTTATTGGGTGATGAATTCAGATTTGAACTTTTTTAAGTTGTAGCCATTGTCAGTCTGTATGGAGGAGGTCAGGAGAGAGGTGCAAAAGTGAGTGAGTCTGATCTGTCTAATTGGCCAGGACTTAATTTTTCAGCATAACATGGATCACAAGCACACTGCCAGTGCTGTACAAGCATACTTGGATAGAAAAACTCACAATAGAACACTGTCATGGATTAACCTCCCCAGAGCCAGAACCTCAACATTATTGAGGCAGCGTGACATCACCTTTTCAGAGAATTGAACAAAATCAGCCAACATCCAAAAGAAGAGCTTTAAATATCCTTCAGGAAACCTGGAGAAGTATTCTTGAAGACTGTTTAGAGAAAAGACAAGAAGGCTTTGCCTAAGAGAGTTCAAGCTTTAAATAATAAAGTTGGTCTTACCAATTAAAGCTCATTAAAATTGTACAAAATCTGTTTTTTCCCCTTATATACCATATTTCCATGTATGTTTGTAGATGTTGCAATAAATCGCTGCACCCATATTCCAAGCAAAATGTAAAGAAATAAAGGTGGCTCAAGACTTTTGCACAACATTGTATAGCAGCGTTTGGAAGTGAATTTTGACGTATGTTCTCTGTGCCTCACAGTGACAGTCCTGGCCATCTTTAATGAGCTGCAGGTGGACGTGGATCTCTACGCATTACTGTTTGGAGAGAGTGTGCTTAACGATGCCGTGGCCGTGGTTCTGTCCTCGTAAGTTGTCTCCCTTTTTTTTCTTTTTTCTTTTCTTTTTTTGTTGATGGACCTGTGACCTTTTACTAACCTGGTATCAGCTCCCAATAACACCTTGTTAAATGTGAAACATGTTTGTTAAACTAACACTTGACTTGGTTTTTGTCCCCCGCCACATGGAACTGCTGTAATTTCCACAGAATTGTAAATTTAAAGTGCAGGCAGACTGGAGGGGCCCGGCCCTGTGGAGACACTCAGACCGGCCCGTTGAACGGGTGCACTAAGTAGAGCATGGCATTGTGTGCTTTTGCAGTGCCTTGAGATAAACATGACAAATCACTGGCCATTTGTTTTTAAGACTCTGGCTATTCAACCAGAGATGCAGAACATTGCATTATTTATTCTTTTTTTTCTGTTATTGGTTAAATGTTTTTGATGTTATGAGTCAGCTAAGAGCACATTCCTATTTTCTTTGAAGATACTGTGGGAGCCAAGGGAAAGGCAGAAAGCCAGAATGCTTATAGACAAAATGCCTGGTGATTTGTTCTGCGAGTGTGGGGGCTGTGAAGAGAGAGGGTGAACAAATGTTATTTTACTGTGACACTGGTTCAAATAGCTATTTATTATACAGCTATTTATTCAAAGATCTGAATCTCTTGTTTGGAAATAAACGTTTGCCAAGTTCAGCACATTTGAGCACAAAACTACCTCAGCATAATGTTAAAAAATATATATGTGTATATTAGGGGTGCAATGATACTCGTATCGATATTGAACCGTTCGATACAGTGCTTTCGGTTC